TAAGTCAAAAAAGTCAATTAAGTCAAAAAAGTCAATTAAGTCAAAAAAGTCAATTAAGTCAAAAAAGTCATTGAAGTCAAAAAAGTCAAAGTCAGTCGTTTCCCCCTTACTCCTGTCACATGGTTATTAAAATCAGCCGATATTTGTCTAGGAGGTTCTTATAGCTGTTTCAAGGAGTTCCAAAGTAGAATTTGATGAGTCCTATCGATTGGTAACCTTGAATTTTCCATATCTCATACCATTCGTGAAAGAAAGCCAAAATACTGATTTTTCACCATAGGGAAGTTATGACATGATTAGTAATTCCAGTCGATATTCGTTCAGGAAGATCCTGTAATTGTTCCAAAGAGTTCCAAAGTAGAAGTTGATGAACTCTCTCGATTGGTAACCTTGTATTTTCCATATATCATACCATTCGTGAAAAAAAGCCAAAATACTGATTTTTCACCATAGGGAAATTATGACATGATTAGTAATTCCAGCCGAAATTCATTCAGGAAGATTCTGTAACTGTTCCAGAGAGTTCCAAAGTAGAACTTGATGAGCCGTTTCGATTGGTAATCTTGATGTTGCCATAACTCAAAGCATGTGTAAGTAGAAAAAAAATGCTGCCTTTTGTCTATTGCATCTTTTGAACTTTTCCGGTAAAAGTTCACAGGTTTCCTCTAAAAATGTATTCTAAAAGTTTTAGACTGACTTCAGGTACAGTTAGACGAGCTCTATGTGATGGTATGCTTATATTTTCCGTAGCTGTTATCGTATGACTACAATGAATATATATGGATTTAGTAGATTCTAACTCAGGAGGTAAATTCGGTGACTCTGTATGAGCAAGATCATTCGTCCCGAAACTTCCACTAACAAATTTGATTTGGCTCAGACTGGTAATAAGGAATTGCTCAAAAGTATTTTTCTGCAGACATAGTAGCTGAGAAAGCGTTGCGATGGTATGCTCTCATTGGCAATTACTAAATATGCTAAATACAAGACAATAAGTATGATTAGTTACCTGACTGAATCAACTATGATGCTGCGTTGTACATCATGGAAGTTTATACTCACCAAAACTGGTATTTTAGTCTCCCGATCGTTGATAATGGGATGGTTAATGTCGACGAAAAGAAGTACTGGATATTCATGGACAAAATGTGAAGGCTGAGCAATCACTTGAGCATTACATCGTCAACAATCTCTATAAAATTCAATTGTAATGTTGTTATTAGAAAATATTGTTATTAGGAAATATTCTTATGCTTACTCCTTTTTCGTTTATTTTGTATGAACATCCGTAATTTCTCTTGTATCTTTTTTATATCCGAGTCGGGTTGCCTCCTTGTATGATACTTCATGTAATAATTTGATAAAATAAGGACACGACGACGTTGTTTCATGTGCAAAATGTGAAATATAAGTTTCCCAACATCTAAATACCAGCAAAATATTTTGTTTACTTAAATAAGTGCATGAACCACTTACTTAAGGGCTAGTTCAGTAGTTCTAGAAGTACGTTCACGTTTTGGACAATCTTGCCGAGTACATGCACTTCTGGTTTCATAAAGTTGAAGGGTATATTTGATAAAACGCAATAAGTTTCCATCAACAGAGCCATATATATTATGTTCATTTATCTGTTTATGGTTAATAACATTTTGACTCGTTAGCCAACACAATCTAGTCTCGTCCCAGCCGTCCGATTCGACTAAAGAGAAAATCTTAAGGAGCGAGTAGGACGGTTCGTTGTCAGAGTTTAAAATAATATTTTTTATTTCCGGCTCTGTTGAAAATATAAAGTAAATAGCAAATAGAGGAGCATCAATATTGCATGTGTTCGTTACAGAATATCTGTGGCCTGAAAAGAACTAATTTATGTTTTATAGATCAAAAGAGCACAAATATTGAACCTTCGAAGATTTTAGTTTTGATGCTAAAAGCTGGCCAAAGAAGTGGACATTGATCAATCATCACAATCTGACGAACTCGACGCACTGGTGAAGAGTCAGGTGTTTCAATAGCTTTAGGTAAAGAAGCTTGCAAAATACGAGCACTTTTTCGTGTTTTCACTACAAAATAGTGGATACACATATTTATAAAAGGGAGAGCTCTTCCAGATGCATACCGTTTTTGTTTTGATTTTTCTCGCCTTAATGGCTAATTTCAACATTTTCTTTTTGAGTATTTTCATTTTGAGGAGCATTTAATACTTTTCTCGCAGCTGACAAAGAATTGCACACATTCTCAACGTCTAAACTTGAAAAAATATTAGTTGGGGACATTGGTACATTTGCTATCTGAATCATCTCGATATTTCCAAAAGAGATCAGATTGTTTAAAAAATTCATCTCACAGAACGGTTTTACGGCCTGCGGAGGTGTAGAAGTACATGAATTGTGTAATAAAGCTGAATTAGATATATCTTTTAATATATTGCTGGTTTTCTTATTCACATCGGTAGAAATACAAGATGGTTTTTCAGGCGAAGTTGGCTTTTTCGAGATTTAATCGGCTTGGACTGTAGTCGTTTTATCTTATTTTTATCATTTGGACCTAAATATGTATTTCGATCTTTCTTTTGCTTCTTTGTCCAAGGCTCCACTACATTCATATCTTTAGGTTTTCCTTTTCGATTTTTTACATCTTGACAAACTCCAAATTTATCTGCTTTCAGTTGAATCTGAATGGTTCGATAAAGTGATACGATCACCTCTGCTGGTCGCAGGTTTGTTTTTCTTTCAAGAATAGAATCTTTTAGGATACCAAAATAGGATTCTGTTTGAGCGTTTGATAGACGACCTTGTTCATATGCACGAATATCAACTGATATTCGATCACTGGAATAACGTTCCTCAAATTCGGTAAGCAAAGATGTCCATAAGGATAAATAAGCAAACCACTTATAAAACACCAAAATAATTGTACGTCAAAAAAGTGGATTCGTCACATTTTCATACTTTTTTTTTGAATCCAACAACTTCAAGAACTGAGGGAATCGACGAACGGCTTCAATATTAAATGGTGATTGATGAATAATGGTATTACTGTCGTGTACATTCTCATCTACTTCATCTAATGGATCAACCGATTCCTCATCTACCTCTATCTCATACGAGCCAATCTTGTCAAGTATAGTTTCATCATCATATGGTGCTTCTAGAAATTTCTGAAGAATATCCTCCGCATCAGTAGCTTGCGGGTTTCCGAACATGTGCAAAACGCGTTTTAAAAACTTATATGACATTTCCAATTCAGCACAATTGATGAACAAAGCAAAAATGTGCAATACTTTTTTTCTTATGTCTTTCGCTACTTTGCCAGCTGATAAACTTCTAGCAAAGGCATTCATCATATGGGAACAGCAAAAGCGCAAAAATGACTTAGAACGAATTTGTTTCGAATCTTGTTTTCGTAAAATGACATTCCAGCATCGTTTTAAATGACCACGAATATCTTCATGGTTGAATGTCTGTAAAATAGCATTAAATATAGCTGGAAAAAAATCTGTGACAAAAAGGGAAGGTGGAACAACTTTCTCTTTGAGAGTAACAATGTCTTGTCGAAGAGTACCCAAAAAATAGCTTATACTCGTTGCTGTATGGTCAGCAAGAATAGCATGTCCTAATGGAATTACATTAGTTGGATCGTTTCCATCTTTAAAAACGGCTGCATATATTAGAACTGTCTTTTGATGTGGTAAACTCTTGGCTATCGATCCGGTTGCATCAATATATACATGTGAGTAAGCATTATTTAGATCATAAATAATATAACGTGAAATTTGTGCTTCTGATGTGAGATGAAGATGAAATGGCTTCTCAGCCATAACCTGTACATAACCTTTTATTTCCTTGGATATCACATCGATTTCTTCAAGTATTTGTTGCAAGGGGGAAACGGCGGACTTTTGGACTTGAAGTTACTTTGAGCTACTTTGAGCTACTTCAAGTTACTTTGAGCTACTTTGAGCTACTTCAAGTTACTTTGAGCTACTTTGAGCTACTTCGAGTTACTTTGAGCTACTTGAAGTAGCTTACTTTGACGTATTTTTCAACTTCAAATTTACCTGAAGTTACTTGATGTTACTCTAAGCTACTTGTTCCTACTTTGTGCTACTTGGGTGGTACTTTGAGCTACTTCAAGTAGTCTACTTTGACGTACTTTGACGTACTTTTCTACTTCAAGTCCGCCGTTTCCCCCTTGATTTGTTGTCTAATTCGACATTCTCGGAAAATATCTTCGCCAAGTTGAAAATTTTTCCGGTAATCTGCTGCTGCATGTTTAAAAATTTCCATAGACTCACCTCTGGTAAAATTACGAGCGGATAACATTTCTTCATCAGCATTTTCTACTTTTTGTTGGAAGGCTTTTAAGCAGCCGATGGCATTGGCTGCCTTTCCAACTTCAAGTCTAGCTTTTCCAGTTAAATGTCGTGCTATTGCTTTTTCATCTGCACTATGGTCTTCGTCTCCAACAGCTCGTATATGAACAACAATACTGTCTCTATATGTTGGTACATCTCTGATAAAAACTTCAAATGTTCGCTTGCATGAAGGCGTCTTACACGTGGCTATACAATGAAAAAAAGAAGAATTTATTTTACGTGACTCTTCAAGGCTAATATGATGATTTTTAAAAGCTAAGATACAACGAAAATTACATGAACGCACTTTCTCATACATCATGTCTGTCCAATCTGGTTCCATTTTACGTGTGGAGCTGTTGTAAATGTCTTTCCAGTCTTTTAAAGTCAAGATGAATGATGCCTCAACTATTGTTGGTGTGTTCAATTCCTGTTCAACTGTCGAACGAGTCTGTGCATGTGGAGGAGACTCATCGGACGCTATAGACTTATTTACAGATTTCGGTAAAAGAAGCTCGACTTTATTTTCTTTATCTGATTTATGAACTTTTTCAACAGAAACCTGATGACTTTCGGACAGAACATCTGCAATTTTTTGACGATTTCGTCACCAAACATTATACAAAGATTGACGTATGTTTTCTGTTTAATTTAATTTCAATTTCGATATCAAACGGCTCCAAATAGATTCTTTAGAACGAGTGAAATCATTAAAACGCCATGTTTTCTCATCAAGTTGTTTTTTATTGGATCCTAATTCCATAACAGCCGATATAAATTGCTTTCGAGTAATTTGATCCCACATAGTTTGTTTCTTTTCTACTTCCTTTTCGTTGGACTGTTCATCTAAGTTATCTTCCATTACTTGCTTAGATGACTGATCATCTGATGAACTATCTTCTATATGTTGTGTTGATCTTGATTTAGATTTATTTTTTACTGATAAGGTGAATGGAGTCTTTCGTTTCATTTTTCAATATAAACAAACTTATAAACAACCTTAACTACTCTATTTGTAATTACTCCCTGTAGAATATAGATTAATTAAATCGACGAATGATGACGTATGTTGCAAGATGAATGATATTCAATTTATTCTTCCTCTTTATATACTCATCATAGTCAATCTTTTTTTTTCTCGTCCTTCTCTCTTTCTCATTGGATATGAAGCATCAAATAATTGCTCATTGCGTCCCATTTTCAAATGCGGAAGAATTTTTCGTATAAAAAGTTTAAAAACAAAACATAAATACAACTTTCGGAGAGAATTATACCCAGTATCAGCTCTTTCACCTTTGACCATAATGAATTTACTGTTTATTTCTTGTTTTGAGCTAACTTTATTATGCTTGTATATATGGCTATCTAATAACGAAATATTAGTTAGTAAGCATTTATAACTATTTGAGTAACAATCAGCTATTGATAACCTGAAGTATGTCTAGATGAACAATTGTTTGATATTAAGCACTTTTTTAAGATTACCAGCGTTAATTAATATATACTTAAAGCTCTTTGAATAATATTCAAAGATATTTATTATTCAATGATATTCACGATATTTGTTGTTGAGTCAAATTCAAAGATAGTTGTTATTCAATTCAATTTGAAGATGTTATTGAGTTCAATTCCAAAATGTTTATTTCTCAATTCAATTCAAAGATATGTATTTATCAGTTCAGTTGAAAGATATCGATGATTCAATTCAATTTGAAAATGTTTATTATTGAATTTAATTCAAAACTATTTATTTCTCACTTCAATTTGAAGATATTGATTATTCAATTGAATTCAAAGGTATGTATTTCCCAATTCAATTCAAAGATATTTATTTCCCATCTCAAAGATATTGATTATCCAATTCAAGATAAGTTGAAGATATTTATCATTGAGTTCAATTCGAAAATATTTATTTCTTAGTTCAACTTATTTCAAAGATATTTATTTCTCAATGCAATTCAAGATATTTATTGTTCAATTCAATTCAAAGATAGTTATTCCTCAATTCAATTCAAAGATAGTTATTCCTCAATTCAACTCAAAGATATTGATTATTCAATTCGAGACAAGTTGAAGACAATATATTATTGAATTCAAGTCAAAAGTATTTTTTTCTCAGTTCAACTTGAAGATATTGATCATTCAACTCAATTCAAACATATTTATTATTGAGTTCAATTCAAACATATTTATT